AAAAAAAAAAAAAAAAGAACAGGAGTGGCTTATTTTTATTTTTTTATTATTTTTACTTTTTAAAGTTTATTTTATTTTTGAGAGAGAGAAGGAGAAAGTGTGAGTGGGGGAGGGGCAGAGAGCAAGAGAGAGAGAGAGAATCCCAAGCAGGCTCCACACTGTCATCATGGAGGCTGATGCGGGGCTCCTTCTCATCAATGGTGAGATCATAACCTGAAATCAGGAGTCAGACACTTAACCAACTAAACCACCCAGACGCCCTATTTTTACTAAACATTTTTTGTTTATTTTTATTTATTTTTTTGAGAGGTAGAGTGCGGGCACACACATGAGCAAGGAAGGGGCAGAGGGAAAAAGAGAGACTTGTAATCAGGCTCTACGCTTAGTGTGGAGCCCCATATAGAGCTCAGTCTCTCAATCTCAGGACTAGGAGATCATGACCTGAGCTGAAATCAGTAGTTAGACACTTAACTCACTGAGCAACCCAGGTGCCCTAGATTTCTGCTTTTATGAAAAAAGATGAAAAATTAAAATAGCACTCAGACTTTGTTTTTGCAGCTAGCCATTATGGAAGCAGCACACCGCCCAGCTGCGTGAGGGGCCCCACCAAGCTCCTTCCTAGCATCTTAGCATCAAGCCACCATATCTTTGAACTGTGTCTGTGAGCATCTGTTCTTTATCTGAATTTATTTAGTGCATCTGTTAGCAAGATGTGTCCGAAGGTATCTGAAAAGGCTAAGAGATTATTTTTGGGTCTGGGAACACTCAAAAATTTTTCCATATAAATTAGTGGTAATGGCTTCTTCACTTTATCCTGTTTAGGTTTATGAAAAGTTTCATGAGAACCCTATACTTTCAATAGCTGGGGAACCTCCCCCTGGATACAGAAAACCAACTCTTGAAAGTTTACTTTTATGTTAGGTCTTTAGATTTAAACTTCTAAACTTATAAGTTTAGATTTAAACTTATCTACATATAGATATACATATATACATATAGATAGATAGTGTATTTTATTTTGATCCGTGAGTCATTTATAAGCTAAGAACAGTTTCATTTCTGCTTTTAAAAATGAACATTTTAAAATTCAGGTTAAACATTCAGGTTAAACTTGTCTTTATTCCTGGGGGAGGGAACACAATACCTTGTTTTAATTGCTTTGTCGTGTGTTGATTTTTCTATTTTATTAAAAAGCCTCTTACTTCCTAGGTATGGTTCCACAGGTAAGGTTCTTTGTTCAAATTTATGTGTTTATTGGAATTTCAATGGATTTTCATTAGGTACTAGTTGATTCCGTTATTCCTGAACTGAAGGATGTTGTTCTTTGGTCTAGGAGAGCTGTCTGCTTTTCCAGGGCCCATAGCTCTGGGAGGGCTGCATGTGGGAGGTGCGTGGCTGAAAGTGTATGAAATTGATGCTAACTCACTAGCAGCAAGATCAGTGGGCTCATCTCTGATAACAGTGGGTTGTCATTGTCTGGGTCACCTTCACAACGCATTGTCATTACACTGACTTCACTAGAAACTGTCATTGGAGCTTAACACTGAAAAGAAAAAGCTGATTTAACCAAATAGAACTGTCAACGGATTCAGCCTTCTTAAAATAAATTTAAGCCCAAATAACAAATTAGTGAAATTGTCAAAAATTTGGTTTCTGGAGTCAGACAGCCTGTATTCAACAGTGTTTGCTATTTGCTATCTGTATAGATTGTTCTCTGAGGAATCAAATTGTTAGTTATATCTTTAAAGGAAAACATAAAAGTGGATTTTGATAAATCCAACAAATAATATATCTAGGTATCATGCTAATGTTCCTTCACAACTGAGAAATAGTATACATATAATTACCTTTTCTTATTTTTTGCAAGATCTGCCTTTGAGTCATTGATACTGGTAACATTTTCTTATGGCACCATTTCTGCAAGGTTAATTTTAATGTGGAGTTATACAATCGAGAACTGGATGCTTCTTTTGTTCAGTCTTCTTTGCATGACAAAGCTCCTTAGGTTATTTTAAGCAAGCTATGCAAAAAGTGCCTGTGGAAGTTCCAGCCTGGCCAGTGAGATCTTTCTGGAGAGCTCTTGTCAGAGAAAAAGATTACTACATAACTTGGAACTTATAGGTAAACGCTTCTTTCTTGCAGATTGAAATTTGAGCAATAGATCACTACTTAAGTGATTGTTTCTTCCACATCTGTTTTCCTTAACCTGCAAAACTTCACAATCAATGACAGCAAAAAACAGAGTGGAATAATTTTTATTCATGTGCTTAGTGCTCAATAAATTACTTGATTGATGATTTCATTGATTCTGTCATTTAGATACCTAGTTGTACCTGTACACTAGGTTATTAGAAACAACCAGCGCAACGTAAACTCTTTATGTAGCATTTTTGCTATTAGGAAATAGCATGAAAAACTTTTGATTATTGCTTAATGTAGAATCTTTTTGGATTTTTAAAAATTAAAATGTAGCCATTGCATTGTGCTATGTTGCAAGCCTACCTACTTTTTAATTCTTAAAGAAAACACTACATATATATTTTTTTCCCTAGACTCTAGATTGAGTAGAGTTATGATATGCATAGAAACTGTTCTTCCTCATTCCACAGTTTATTAAACTTCAATTTTACACTTTCCAAAACTTCTTAAAGAGGAAGTTTTTAACCTTCTGATTTTTAAAATTCCCTTTTCTTTTGTATTTCTAGTGGAGAATCCTATCTCTTATTGGCCTAATCCATTTGCTATCTGATTATCCCTCCAATATACTCCTTATCATCAACTTCATCAACAACAATCAAAAAGAAAATTGCTCCAGAATGCTACTACCTTAATTAGTATAGGATAATATTTATATAAAAATCATACTCCTGGAAGTGAGGTAAAACAAACAAACAAAAAAACCTCTCTACAAGCTGGCCCTTCTCTTTTCCTTTTTTCTGTTGAAGTAAAAATCTGAAACAGACGTAGTATGTCTTCCGTGTGATTTCCCCTTCCTAGAAATTCCATATTGCCAGACACCTCCAAAGAAGGTGCCTGAACAGGAGATTGATTATGCTGTGGACTATTTAATAATGAGAAGATACCAGGTTTTAACCCTAAGAAACGCGAACTCTTATTTGAGAAAGGAAAAATAAATTATACATATGAAATTATGAAATAAAGGTGAAATTATGAATTTTGGTTACCTCAAAGATCAGTATAGGCTCATAGACTTTGGAGCCAGTCCTTCCTGGGTGATCTTGACTCTGTGCCTTAGCAGTTGTACAGCCTTAAATCTATTCCTTAATTTCTTTGGCTATAATTTCCTTCTCTGAAACATGAGGATGACAACAATACCTATCTATTTATTGGGTTGCTGTATTAGGTGAGTCAATATATACAATATATATTATATATATAGGAAAGTGTCTGACACAGAGTATGTGTTTGCCAAAAGATAGATAAACATGATGGGTAAATGAAACATTTGTGAACTCTGTATTGGATTTCATATGTGCCCAGCATTTTCTTCTGTTTTGAAAGCATGCTCTTTTTCTTTTTCTTTTTCTTTTCTCAAGACTTAATTTTTTTAAGAGAGGAAGGTACAGATATTTCTCATATACCCCTTGTCCCCACACATGCCATAGCTTCCCCCATTCTCACCATCCCCCACCAGAGTGGTACACTCACTTCAGTGGCTAAACCCATACTGACACGAAGTAATAACTCAAAGTCCATTGTTAATTTTATTTTAGGGTTCACTCCTGGTGCCATACATTCTAGGAGTTTAGACAAGTGTATAATGACACGTATCTGTCACTGTAGCATCATTCAGAGGATTTTCACTGCCCTAAGAAGTCTCTGTGCTCTGCCGATTCATTCCTCCTCCTTAGTGTTATTCTTTTCATGTTTTGTTTTTATTAAAATGTCTACTTATTTGACAGCTTATTAACATGAGGTCACACCATGCTAACCCCTGGGGACATACAGGCAAAGTCCCTTTTCTCCGGAAGCTTACATTCTAGCTGGGGACTAGAGGAAATAAAAATGTAAATCAGATGTGGGGTCTGTCCTTAAAGGGCCTAGTCCAGATGGGAAATGTGAAATACACAGAGAT